GATGAGCATCGCGCTTCTTTGGATTTTCAACCGCTCCGCGGCCTACCGTGCACTAAAGAGAAGACCAATAAAAGTAGTCTTTGTTGTGGCCGCCCCACAAGTTCTGACATCTTGGATCTCAGGAAAAGCATGAAGAAGCGAAACGACTGCAATACCCGGGTTGGCTCGAGAAAGGTGACCAGAACGCTGGAGTTTCTAAACACAGCCATGTAGAGAGTGGTCGGATAACAACTGCTCACAGTCCATTATAAGTTGCATAAGCACCACTGCTCAATCCAACGGGAGGAGCACAGCAGAGACAAAAAGTTCAAAGAGCTGGTGTCGAGGGCCGAAAATGGCGATTACGCGGGCACCGTTTTCATCGACGACAAAATTCCTCACATGGAGCGCTACAATCTTCAAACTCCGAGGATGCCCGCATGAGGTCTTGAGGAAGTCAGTGAGAGTGAAAGGAATATTCGCCACAAGCAGCAGCCGAACCTTATCATGGTCTGGACGGGGTCTCAACTACCGGTCGCTCACCATCACTGCCTGTTTACAAAGGAATACAACTTGATACTAGACCGAGCCAAGGGACATTTCGGTGCACCATCTGTTACTGAGGTATCTAGCCACTTTGAGGAGGGGTGATGATCTTTTCAATAGGACCCAGCTTCTGCATAGGAGGCAAAAATTGTTCAGGAGCGCTGTTAGGCACTCTTTCCGATTTCACATCCTCAAACGAATGGCTCTCCTATCCTTGATTTCAACGTGCTGGACCATCCTATGTGGGCTATGTTAGGGGGCAGAGCCTGCACTAAACATTGCATCCACATGGATGAGCCGGAGCCTTTTCTCTGCAAAGTTTCGAAGAGAACACCCAGGATGCCATGCGGGCCACAGTAGAGTTGCGTTCGAAGCAATTGGGAGCCATACTCACAACAACAGGGGAGCATATCCAATGAATGTCATTCCTTTCAATATGTAAATGTATTGCTAAAAATTTTTGAAAACCTCTTGAAGATACATCCATTCTGAAAGAAGTTGCAAGTAAAGAAAGTGGTGCAATATTTATGGGACACCCTGCAATTTTTTCACCAAGTCCCCACTTCAAAATGCCCTTCTTGGTAGTAAGCGGCGATGATGATGGTTATCGCAGTAAATACTAGAATTCTGATTTGTTTTGTTGCGCTTAGGATTTCGCTCTCTTATGAATTGCATTTGCGACACTTGCAAACTAATGTTGCTCTTGAAGGTCTGGCCCTTGAAGGTGGGCTTATAGTCCCAACGCTTGTTATCACCATAAAACACGCCAGATTCTTATAATGTTTTGTGAAATGAATATCGCATGAAAGCATTAAGCATCCGACGTTGATCAAAGCCTTTTTGGGATGCGCCACGCCAGCAACCTCCATTCAGAATTGTAGTGAGTTTGGATGCGATTAGCCTATGCAGGGAGCGCAAGAGCCAAGCAGATGTACAAGTTAAGGTTTTTATCCTCCCAGACAAGTCTGGTACCAATTAACCGACCCCGGAGGGATGGAAGGCTTGGTTGGCCCGGGCGACTCACGACCCAGGATTTGATCCCGGACCGCTCGCGTGGTAAGCGCGCCACTTGCCACTACACCACTTCCGCCCTTTAAACGTTAAGTAAGTAAGATCCACAAAACTCGCCAGATTCATATTTCATTTACTACTCCATTACCAGTTCAGGCCTCTTCACCAAAATTTACTCTTCCGAAATGTCAACAATCCCTCGGCGCCGCCGTCGTCGCTGTCATCAGACCGGCCAACGAAGAGACGGGATGCCCGCGTCACCGCCGACATCGGCGAGTCGAGAGTGTTAGTAGGCGTGGCCACGGACGGCACGTGGCCTCACAATGTGTGCACGCAACGCGTCCGCACGCCCATCGCCTGGCATTCTGCCAGCCGTTTTGCCTGTCAGCTGATTCGAAAAAGAGCCAACTATTCGAAAAAGCGCCGACTGCGGGCGGGCTCATGTCAGCGCGTGATACCGTACTCGGAAAGGGTCATCGCCACGATCAAGTGTGTCTAGGATATTCGAATTCATCGTCTCATCGACACGTTCCACTATCGACCTTGCAACGCTAGACTATTCCACATTTCTAGGCCTGAATATTAGTGATGACAAGCGGCGAGTCAAAATCCGCTGTTGTGGAGAAGACGCACCATTTACAGTGAGTCATTCACGAGTCTCACATCTGGTGTCTGAATACGGTGTTTTGTTCGTTTTCAGTCCTATTGCTAACCTGACACAGTTCCAACTACTAAGTTCCCATCTTGATTCACCTATCGGTTGACAGACTATCCCACCCCAGTAGTGTTTCCGATCTTTGTGGGTTCTTCCATCGCCTGGCATAGTTCACCTTTCCACGTTGAATTGCTCGATCACTACAAAAATACAAAGATATTGGAAAATTTCCTGTGATGTATTGAAACACTCGAACGCCCTTTCAATTCCTGCTCCAGTAAAACTGAATTTCAAGCAATTCCTGATCAATTTCTCGGCTCAATTTGATGGTCCCATACATTCACTTAGGCGATTATTTGCTGTTTCGTTTACGTCTGCTTTAGGTGCTGATTTGCACCACGAATTTCTCCTGCAACATATTGATTGATAGAAATTGATAGATGTTCGCTAATCGCTATCGCATGTTGCTGTCGTGGTCGTCGTTCATCGTGAAGCGCTCACGATTACGATCGCGCTGTTTTCTGTGGCATATGTTTCCACAACCTATAAATAACAATCTTTTTACTCTGTTTGCAAATTGCCCGATTCGCTTGTAGTAGTGGTCTGTTCTCTGGCTTCATAATATTGATTTGATGTAGATCAAAACTCTGTTCATGGTCTGCGTTTTTTTCCGCGGCCACAAGGAATGGTCAACGTGTTCAGGCTGCTAGCAGCTAGCTGTCTGTCCGCGTCAATACTTTGGGTTGTGTTCAACACACGCACACACACACACTGTTGTTAGTCACTTTTCACCCCTCATATCATCGCTCTCCCTCTCAAGTGCCACTAATCGATATTCTGCTGGTGTTGGTGTTTTTCGATCGTTTTGCAAAACCAGCTCATTCAACGGCTAAATATGCCCACGCGTGTGGACCTACCACTAACCACGGCATAATTGCCGCCTTCTAGACAGGCTCGATGGTTGTGGATTTAATTCAATCCATTTTAAAGTACTGAATTGAAATGTTCACGTCGGATAGCCACGGTAATCGATAGTGAAGCATATTCTGCAGAAATTTATGGATAGACACATTGATTGCAACATGAAAAAGCCTTTAAACTGGACGCTCCTGAAGACCACCCATTGAGTTGCAGTGTTCAGAGAAAATCAATAACAAGAAATTCAACGAATTCAATCGGTCTGAAGTTATCATCCATCCATTCACCTTAGGGTAATTTTCTGGTTGGGATTACAAAATAAGTAAAATATGGAAACGAGTTTGTTTGTTAGCATGAAAA